GCACCTCGCTCAGCCAGTGAGCGGGAACCGGTCTGTATGTGGGATCCGAACCCTCGGCGGGAGTGCCGCCGCGCTCCCAAGCGGCGCACTGTAGCAGTGCGCCACCGGGCTGGCCCTAGAGTGACTTTAATGAATAAGAAATTTATACAGGTTTGGTTAAATTAAGCAATAGGTGTTATACAGCTATTTTATTCCAGTGAGGAAGTATTGAAGATTTATTAGAGGAAGTGATTTTGTGTCTTTGGGGGCTTTGTGTAGTTCACATATAAACATCAATACTTGCTGATGTAGTGGAAGTGTTTTGCTCACTTTTCCATTCTGAAGATTTCTAGAGACTTCAAAGCTTAAAAGGAGTAAGAAGAAAAGAAGGCAATAGATTTGACAGTTTGCAGTGCTCTTAGGCATTTTGGTTCTGCAGATCTAGTGCTGAGAATAAGGAATATGTGAGTAAATAAATTAGGGTGTGGTGAAGAAACATAGAGACTTCAAAGCTTAAAAGGAGTAAGAAGAAAAGAAGGCAATAGATTTGACAGTTTGCAGAGCTCTTAGGCATTTTGGTTCTGCAGATCTAGTGCTGAGAATAAGGAATATGTGAGTAAATAAATTAGGGTGTGGTGAAGAAACACGGACCATCACCTGGGGGTTCTAATTCTTTCTTTGACAGACTATCTCCTGGTTTATGTACCATGATTTTTTTTTATTAAATTTTTATTGAATCATAATTAATTATACATATTTTTTGGGTTCAATGTTGAGACATGTTGATCAAATCAATATTACAAGCATATATATTGTTACAAATCATAGTTATTCTTTATGCCCCTTGTGCAATATCTCCCCATCCCCTCTCCCTCCCCTAATTACCCTAGATTTCTTCCCTGCTTCTGAAAGAGTAGTGGTTACTCTGTTGATTTGTTGCCTGGATGATATGTCCAATGCTGAGAGGTGTTTTCAGGTCCCCCAATATTATCGTGGAGCAGATGCTTCTTCTGTCACTCAGGAATGAGCTTTGTGGAGAGAGACATACTCTTCTTTTCTTTGGTCTCTGCTGGTGACTCTCCTTGTGTCCATGCACTCCAGTGGCTGGCAGACTATCTGCGTGGTGGTTGTGGTGTCTAGCCACTTGCGCAGCGGTTGTGGTGTCTAGCCACTTGCGCAGCAGTCGTGGTTACTGTGGTGGCTGTGGTGTGCCTCCCACACGGAGGTGAAGTTTTTGGCATGCTCCTTGGCACTGGCAGTGTGCCTGGTTGTAGGAGGGGGGGTCTGATCCCTGGCTCCGTGCCTCAGGTCCCCAGGTGGGCCCTGAGGTGCTGGTGGTGTGCCTGGTTGTGGGTGGGGACTGGTGTCTGGCTGTAGGCCTCAGGTCCCCTGGCAGGCCCCAAGGCTCTGGCGGTGTGCTTGGGCCAGAACTAATTTTTTGTCCTTTGCTTACTTCTAAAATGAAGGATCTTCCTGTGAGGATCAGTACTTGAGCTGTGTGGTATAGCTAAATTGCTGCTTTGCTGCTGCTTCCTTAGGGAAGACTTTTTGTGCAGCTTAGTTGTTAATAGTTGACTTTATAGGTACTTCCGGCTCTCCAGAGACCCAGGGAACCTGGGTTGTATAGAAACTCTGATCTGGCCCTGACTCTTTTCATCAAACTGCACCCCATGCAATTCTATATTCCTGACCAGTCTACTCTGAGTGGTCCTACACTGATTGGGGGCAGATCAGCTGTCCTTGCTGTGTCATAGTGTTCCCCTGGTGGGCCCGTCTCCCTCACCGCCCATGCTGCAAACACTTCCCATGGGATGGGCCATGCACTGGTCCCTGTGATGACTCACCAGCCTCTGAGTGGCTCCTTTTTTCAGTTACGGCTCCTTGCTTCTATGTGGGTCCATGGGAACCCTATTAGTGGTCTTGCTGGCCTGGGAGCCACCAAGGCTCTCCTCCCCTGCCGCCTCTAAGCAACTCCATCTGAAGGGCACAGCTGCGGCTTTTGCAAGCACCTGCTCCTTGCATTCAGTAGCTCCAGCCTTAAAGCAGCTGCAGCATGGAATGGTCAGAGTGTTTTTTTCTTTCTCTCATCGTGGCTTCTCCTGCCTTCATGCACTCTGTACGTCTCTCCTCCTCTTCCTCTGAGCTCAAGCAGCCCTAGCTTGGCTGTTGTTGCTTTTTTATAGTTGTAAATTGATTGATTTGTGGGAGAGAGTGATGCTAAGGACTGTTTATTCCTCCATCTTGCCTGGAAGCCTCTGTAGCATGATATTTTAACCAGTATTGTGATTAAATTGTTAAATTTTGCCCCTTACGTTACTCTTCCTTTATTTAGAAATGACCTTAACTAGAATAGAAATATTATTTGCAAATTTAATTGTTTCCACGAGCTTCAGTCTTTTTCATAGCTCTCATGTACAGCTCATAATGGTTTTAGCCTTATGTAATGTTGAGTTCATAAGGGTGTTTATAAGATTTTGCTTTCATAATCCCATCAGGCATTTCCCCTAATCCCTTGGCAATAGTACTACCATAATTTGATCTATTTTAAAATATAAGAATAACATGGTTTTCTTCTCATGACTGAATTATGTTTATGTATCAGAATTAACTTCAGAGAAGCAAAAAATTTTACGGTTACTATTGATTCTTTGCTATCAGCATTTGTCTCATTCACTTCCATTTAAAGTAAAATCTCTTCTTCCATCCCAGTGGCCTTATGGCTCTTTGCACTTTGTTTCCTCTTCCTTACTTCTGCCTGGTCCTTTGGTGTTAGAGTTCTCCATCAGTTCGTTGTTAGACCCTTCATCTCTCTAAAATGCTGAGAAACCTTTCTCTAGTGACTACCACCTATCAGCTGGTGACTCCCAAATTAATAGATCTTGCTCAGTTCTTAATCTTAAATCCCAAACTTGTCTGTCCTATTGAACATCTCCAATTAAATGCTTCACAGGTGACCTAAATAAAATATGTCTAAAATTGAACTTCTTTCTTGCCTCAACTGCTTCTTCTTACTTGCTCTTCACCTCAGGGAATGGCATCACCATTTTTTCAGTTGCGAAACCCAAATTTCTGGTAATATATATTTGGTATTCTCTCTCCTTACAAAAGCTTCATCCCCAACCCCACCTCTCTCCCTTTACTCTATTTTTGTTGGTCTAATGACCACTTTTCTTCAGGACTCTTCCCTAAGATAATAGATTCTATAAAGCCTTCTCAGATATCCAAGGCTGGTTTATGTGTTTCTTCCATAACACTCTTGGGCTTCTCCTTTCTGCGTTTATCAAGCTGTCTTATGATGTATTTTATTTATTGTGTCAGCTTATTCTTCCTAACTAGACTATGAATTCTTTGAAGACAGAGACTATTTTTCTCATCTCTTCTAGTACGGTGCCTAGCACAAAGTAGGGCCATGAAAATATTTGTTTTGGTGACTATTTTTGTTGTTGAAAAGTGAATAAAAGGGAAGCATCAGGAGGAGGGAGTTTGTTTAAATTAATTCATATTATAGTCTGCTTAGCCTCCTAGGATTATAACTATGTTAAAAACAAGAAACTTACTAATCAAGGTAGAGTATTGGTAGTATGACACAGAGTTTGGTGATGAATTTCATACATGCAGAGAGTAGGTTTTTTTGGCAAGAGTCTGTTAAATCAGACCTGGTTAACTGCCTGGCCTAATACTTGCTCATTAACGTTACACTCTGTTGCCCATGAAAAAACTTAGAGTTTGTTGGAAGCGAGGTGGTTAGGCTTTTTGGAAGCAAGGGACCCAGTATACTAAGTAATGAGGTTTAAAACTTAGTTTTACCCGATTTTGTAGATATTGAGGGGCTGACTGAGTGATATCAAGGCTATGTGTCAAATCCTTTTTCTTTACAAAGTGATTATTTTCTTAATTCAATCTGAGTAAGGTAAAATAAAAACTCAGACTAATGAAGGTAAACTAACTTTATGTGTTGTCTAATATAGATGATTATTTTGTTTTTTGAAACAGGCCAGTTTCAGTGATGTTCTGATCAGGGCTCACCATTTCCCTAGAAATCTTATTACTAGTTAAATTGAGATTTGTGAAAAAAGATTGATGAAGTATAAATGTTCATGTTAATTACTTGCCACACAGCCAAGAAGACTTCAGTGTTACTCAGTTTATTTATCCTTTTAGTCAAAAGCTGAGTCTGTCCTTTGTGTGTAAAAATTACCTAAATTAATTATTTTATGTTTATAAACATGTTATTTTTGAGACAGTATATATGTTTTGACATCTAGTTCATTGCTACGCCAATAATAATTGGTTTTTGAAGAGATTGTGACATTTTATATAGTGTAGACCTCCTTTTTACCAGATTGAATATTTTTTCTAGTATGAATAAAACAGTGCTTGTTTAAAGTAAAATTTAAAAACCAAGACAGAACAATTTGAGGAAGAACTGCTGCTTTGTATTTTTAAAGCAAATATTACTAGTTAATTTCAGACAATTAACCATATTGGCTAGAACATTCGTTTGCCTTTGCATGACAATTTTGAACACTTTAATGAAAAGATTATTTATTGTTCAGAAAGCTGAACATGAATGATTTTGCTGTGAGATAAACATTTAATTTTTTTCTCTCTTTAGATAATCGTATGGAAGAGATACAGTGATTTTAAGAAACTACACAAAGAACTATGGCAAATTCATAAACACTTATTTCGACATTCAGAATTGTTTCCTCCATTTGCTAAAGGAATAGTGTTTGGTAAGTAATTGTTTTGAAATTGTGATTTTAAAAAAGTGATGATTAGCTAATTACATGTATATGCTGAACCCTGACATACTATACTATGAAGTCAAGAAGGCTTTTGCTGTAGATTGGATGCACTCCCCGCCCCCCACCGCCCCGCACCTCATGAAGCTTAAATTCCCACTGTAACTGTTGAGGGTGGGAAATCCTATTATGGTAGTTGAAAGGTGGGGCCTTGAAGAGGTGATTAGATTGTAGGACCATGCCTAGTGAATGGATTAAAAATGGTGGTCAGGGGCGTGGTTCTGAGGGCTTTAAAAGAAGAGCGCATGAGAGGTTAGTTTCTGTCTGCTCTGCCATTTTCTGCCATGTGAGACTCCTGGGTTACTGTCACCACCACCAAGACTTTCACCACATGTGTTCCTTGAACTTTGGACTTCCCAGCCTCTGAAACTGTAAGTAATTTTCTTTTCTTTATAAATCACCCAGTGTCAAGTATTTTGTTATAGCAACAGAAACAAACTAATCTACCTCTTTACTTATGAAAATAATTCATGCTGTTCAATAAGCAGTTGAAGTTTTTCATGTTCTTGGTATCATTTTGTTTACTCAGAACACATTTACTCTTCCCTTTCATGAAAAAACAATTCCAACTCCAACTAAACAAATTAAAAAAAACTGTAAGAACATAAGAGAAGATGATGTTCAATTAGAGTCATGCTCCACATAATGATGTTTTGGCCAATGGCAGACTGCATGTAGGACAGTAGTCCTATAAGAATATAAGGACTATACCATATAGCCTAGGTGCACAGTAGGCTGTATCATCTAGATTTGTGTAAGTACACTCTATGATGTTTGCACGATGAAATTACGTAAGGACACCTTTCTCAGAATATTTCACCAACATTAAGTGACGCATGACTGTATTCTCATAGTTCTGAAATTCCTGCATTAAAAAAAAATAAGTCTCCATTTTCCATGTTTTCCTGACACCTTTCTCATAATATGAGTGGCTGTAGTGTGAGTCACCTTGTCCAAATATGGACATTCTGGGATGATGCTCTGGGTATGTTATTGATTAAGTCACAACCGTCCTTATGTTTCTGAGACCAGTCAAATGAAAAAAATCTCTTTGATAAAATTTAGCTATGTATTTGATATAGAAAATATGAAAAAACACACAAAAAATGATAACAATAACAGCAACTATCACCAAAATCACTCAGGAATAAACATGGTTACATGGTTAATATTTTGTATTATGTCTACCAATCTTTTTTTTCTTTTATTCTTTTAATTTTAATTTTTTTTTATTGCATGTTTATGGGGTATAGTTTGTTTTAATACATGCATATATTATATAATGATCTAATCAGAATAGTTAGTATATCTGTCACCTAAACATTTATCATTTCTTTGTAGTTGTAACGTTCAAGATCCTCTTTTCTGGCTATTTTGAAATATATGATACAATTTTATTAGCTATTTTCATCCTATAGCACCAGAATTTATTCTTCCAATCTAATGTAACTTTGTAACTTTGTACCAGTCTACCAGCTTTTCCCTGGCCCCTGCTCCCCATCCCTTTCCCTGCCTCCGGTAACCACTATTTCTTTTTTTCTCTCTTTTTAATTTATTTTTCTTAATTAACCCATCATAATTGTATGTATTTATGGAGTACAATATAATGTTTGGGTACATTCATACTGAGTGCAGTGATCATATTGGGTTGGTTAATATGCCCATCACTTCAAACATTTGTCATTTGTTTGTATTAGGAATATTTGACATTTTGACTAGCTGTTAAAAGATACACAGCATTTTGTTTTTAACTGTAGTCTCCATATTTACTATAGAACCCTGGTTCCCATTCTTCCTATCTCTCTGATATTTTGTGTTCACTGAATGACCACCCTCTCCTCATCCTCCTCTTCCCTTTCTCCCCACCATTTTCTAGTAACCACTTTTCTGCTCTCTACATCTATGAGAACAACTTTTTTAGCTTCCACGTATGAGTGAGGACATGTGGTATTTTTCTATGTCTGGCTTATTTCACTTCACATAATTTTCTCTAAGCTCATCCATGTTGCTGCAAATGGCAGAATTTCATTCTTTTTTTGGCTGAGTAGTATTCCATTGTGTACATATACCACGTTTTCTTTATCCAGTCATCTGTGAAAGGACATTTAGGTTGGTTTCAACTCTTGATTATTGTGAATAGAGCTGTGATAAACACTGGAGTGCAGATGTCTCTTTGGCTTACTGATCTCCATTCCTTTAGATATATACCCAGTAGTGGGATTGCTGGATCATATGGTAGTTCTGTCTGTAGTTGTTTGAGAAACCTCCATACTGTTTTCATAGTGGCTTTAGTAATTTACATTCCCACCAACAGTGTAGAAGAGTTCTCCTTTCTTTGCGTATTTGTCAGCCTTGTTATTTTCCATGTTTTTGATAATAGCCGTTCTAACTGGGGCAAGATGGTATATCACTGTCATTTTGATTTGCGTTTCTCTGATGATTAGTGATGTTGAACATTTTTTCATATGCTTGTTGGACATTTGTATATCTTCCTTTAAAAACTGTCCAGTTTCTTTGCCCATTTTTAAATTGGATTATTATTTTTTTACTGTTGAGTTTTTTGTATATTTTGGATATTAATCCCTTGTCAGACACTTAGTTTGCAGATATTTTCTCCCATTTTGCAGATTGTCTTTTTTGCTCTGTTTCCTTTACTATGCAGAAGCTTTATGATATAATCCCATTTTTAGTTAATTTTTGCTTTTGTTCCCCGTGCTTCTGACATATTGCTCATAAAGTCTTTGTCTGCACCTATTTCCTGAAGTGTTTCCCCTATGTTTTCTTCTAGAAGTTTTGTAGTTTTGGGTCTTACATTTAAGTCTTTAACACATTGAGTTAATTTTAGTATATGATGAGAGACAGAGGTCTGGTTTCATTCTTCTACACGTGGATCTCCAATTTGCCCAGCATCATTTATTGAATGTCCTTTTTCCAGTGGATGTTCTTGGCTCCTTTGTCAAAAATCAGTTGGCTGTAGATATGTGGATTTTTTTCTGAATTCTCTATTCTGTTCTATTGGTCTGTGTGTCTGTTTTTGTGCCAGTACCATGCTGTTTGATTACTGTTGCTTTGTAATATATTTTGAAGTCAGGGAATGTGATACCCTCTGCTTTGTTCTTTTTGCTCAGGGTTGCTTTGCCCATTTGGGGTCTCTGGTTGTTCCATATAAATTTTAGAATTTTTTTTTTCTATTTCTGTGAAGTATGTCATTGGTCATTTGATGGGGATTGCATTGAATCTGTGGATCACTTTGGATAGTGTGGTCATTTTGATGATAATGATTCTTCCAGTCTGTGAGCATGGGATATCTTTCCATTTTTTTGTGTCTTCTTTAATGTTTTTAATCAGTGCTTTGTAGTTTTCATTGTATAGATCCTTCACCTCCTTGGTTAAACATATTCCTAGGTATTTTTGTCATTGTTGTTGCTATTATAAATAGGATAGCTTTCTTGGTTTCTTTTTCTGCTAGTCGTTGTTGGTGTTTAGAAATACTACTGATTTTTGTACGTTGATTTTGTATCTTATGACTTTACTTAATTTGTTTATAAGAATGAGGAGTTTTTTGGTAGAGTCTTTAGGTTTCTCTCTCTTATAATCATGTCATCTGCAAACATGGAAAACTTGATTTCCTCCTTTCAAATTTGGATGACCTTTATTTCTCTTGCCTAATTGCTCTGTCTACGACTTCCAGTACTATGTCAAATAGAAGTGCTGAGAGTGGGTATCCTTGTTTTGTCCCAGTTCTTATGGGGAAAGCTTTCAGCTTTTCCCCATTTGGTATGGTATTAGCTGTGGGTTTGTCATATATAGCCTTTACTGTATTAAAATACTATCCTTTTATGCCTAATTTGTTGAAAAGGGATGTTGAATTTTATCCAATGCTGCTTCTGCATCTGTCAAGATGATCATATGGTTTTTCTCTTTCATTCTTTTGATGTGATGTATTATATACATTCATTTGTGTGTGTTGAACCATCCTTAGATCCCTGGGATAAATTACACTTTATTGTGGCGTACAGTCTTTTTGATGTGTTGTTGGATTTGGTTTGCTAGAATTTTATTGCAGATTTTTATATCTGTGGTCATTAGAGATATTGGCCTGTAGTTTTCTTTTTCTGTTGTGTCCCTGCATGGTTTTGGTATCGGGGTAATGCTGACCTCATAGTAATTGTTGGGAAGAATTCCATCCACTTCAATTTTTTGAAATAGTTTAAGAAGTATTGGTATTAGTTCTTCTTTAAACGTTTGGTAGAATGCAGCAGTAAAGCCATCTGGTCCTGGGGTTTTCTTTGTTGGGAGACTTTTTATAACTGATTCTATCTTGTTACTTGTTATTGGTAAATTTAGGTTTTCTATTCTTGGTTCAGTCTTGGTAGGTCAGATGTATACAGGAATTTACCGATTTCCTCTAGGTTTTCATATTTATTGGCATATAGTTGTTCATAATAGGCTCTGATGATTCTTTGTATTTGGTGCTGTCTGTTGTCTCCTTTTGCATTTTTGATTTATTTATTTGGGTCTTTTTTTTCTTGGTTAGTCTGGCAATTTATTGACAGAAAATAGATTTGTCAATTTTGCTTGTCTTCAAAGAACCAGCTTTTTGTTTGGTTGATTTTTTTGTATAGTATTTTTAGTCTCAATTTCATATATTTCTGCTCTGATTTCTATTTTTTCTTTTTTCCTGCTTATTTTGGGTACATTTTGTTTTTCCTGTTCTAGTTCCTTGAGAGCATTTTTAGGCTGTTTATTTGAAATCTATTTTTTTGATGTAGGCATTTATTGCTATAAACCTTTTTTTTTTTTTAATTGGCTGGCTGGTATGGGGATCTGAACCATTGACTCTGGGGTTATAAAACTGCGCTCTAATGAACTGAGATAACTGGCCAGCCCAAACTTCCCTCTTAGTACTACCTTGGCTGTACCCCATAGGT